TTGTATTTCTTCAGAAGTCAACAATAGGAGGTCAGAGATTTCCTCTACAACCTCAGAGAACAGATTCTTAGCTTTTAAAGCATAAGCGTTAATCCAAAGGTGACAGTATCCAGTCAGACCTAGGAATTTTCTGAGCTTCTATTTGGTTGTTGGTAGCGGCAAACTTATGATTCTCTCTATTCTTTCTGGGCTAAGCCTTTTTTCCCCCTACTTAACAAGTGCCTCAAATATTTTACCTCTCTCCACAATTTGTAATTTTTCCTTTGATAGTCTAAGTCCTTGTTCCCTGAGACAGTTGAGGAGGGAAACAGTAGGCTCCATAAGTTCTCTTTGGTCTGCACCAGAGAGTAGTAAACCATATTGGAGGAGGCAAGTGCCATGGGAAGATGTGAATTTTTCTACTACCTGTTCTAAAATATAATGAAACAAATGTGGGGAATCAGTAAATCCTTGGGGAAGAACTGTCCAATGGTATGTGTTATGGTTTGTGTTGAGATGTCCCCCCAAAACCTCATGAGGCTGGGGGTGGGGTGGGGAGGCATTTCAGAGGTGGCTGAATCTAGACTTTGTGATTGATTCCTAGTGCAATGCTGGGATTAAGGGTGTGAGTGCTACACCAGCCTTAAGGTAGATAGCCTGCATAGAATATAAGGGAGGGAAAGAGGCTTGCTCCTCCCTTTTGCTCTTCTTGCTTTTTCTGCCTTCTGCCACCATGAACTTGCCTCCTTGCCTTGGAGCCAGCTGATTACGGACAGAAACCTCTACAAACTGTGAGCTAAATAAACCTTTCTGTCTTTAACTTTGAGTGTCAGGTATTTTGTCCCAGCAATGAGAGAAAAGTAAATAAAACAGTATTGTTGTCTCCTATTTGTTATAGGGTCCTCTCATGAAAAGGCAAACAGGTGTCTATTGCCTGGGTCCAAGGGACATGGCCAAAAAGGCATCTTTGATATCTACCATGCTAAACCATTGGTGGCCAACTGAGATTTTGCTTAATAGAGTGTAAGGGTTTGGGACCATTGGGTGTTTAGTCTTAACAATTTGTTTTATTGCCCATCAATCCTGGACCATATGATAGGAGTCATTTGCCTTGTGCACCAGAAGAATGGAGGTGTTATAGGAGGACATACAGGGTTCGAGGAGGCCATCCTGTATTATCACCACTGGCTTGAGTTATTGGGTTAATAATATCCCTTAGTTATTGTATGCTGATCAGGCCCACAGCCTCCAGAATGTATGGATGGCGAAGGCTTAAGTAAATGAGACAACTGAAATTATTTCAGGGCTCCAGAAGGTTCCAAACCCTCTAACAGAATTTGCAATTCTTTAGGTTAAGACAAAAAACTTCTCTGGGTGGCCCATATTTATTTGGTTTTCAAACAAAGGAGGGGCATACTGAAGAAAATGTGGGAATCTGAGAGGAATCTAACAGGACCTTGGGAGATAGTTTCCCCAAGTAGTAAATTATGTCAATTGGGAGAACTACCTTTAGATTGGCATTTAATGTAGGAATGTGGAGCCTACAGCTGCAGTCTCCTTTTAGTTAACTGAGTTGGAGCCACACATCCTCAGCTGTGGCCTTATCTGTCCTTCGAGGTATCACAGCTTCACAGGCCACACAGGCCTCAGCAGTGACCAGCGACCCATAGAGGCTCACTCACTATGAGTACGCTGCCCAGCTCCAGACAAGTTGCCTAGGCTTTGGACAACTCACAAGTAAACACGGAAAGCCAACTTGTTAATATCAAATCCTGCTCAGAGCTGCTTAGTAGTAGTCTCCATCATTGAGTCCCATTCTTCCCTTCATACGAATAGGGTACTGTTTCCTCCTATCTCTCCAGAGGTTTTATCTGGATGGTAAATGGGGTCATCTTAAGTCTCCCACAGTTCCCCTCAGAGGCCCATACAGAAGATTGAATCTCTTTTTCTATTGCTGGGGTCAGAAGATTTAATCTTACTTATAGACTCTTTTTAGTGACTTGCAGGCCCAGTACCAATTCAGCCATCAAGTTCCTTCCACATAGATTTATACCAGCCTCTAGGACAAAGAAATTGTATTCGGGGTTATCAGCCCTGGAAGCCCACCTAGTGTCCTTTAGAGTTTTACCTGGGAGTCCCTCCCCTTTTATCCTGGACACTAGCATTTGTTCTTGTGATTAGATGAGTCCCCCAGGCAGAAGGCAAATTGAAGACCGGATGCACCTGAATCAATTAAGAAGACCATAATTTCCTTGTATGGTTTTACCTCTAAATTTATCAAGGGTTCCAGGTAGGACCCAGGGGAGTAGTATAAGAGCTTCTGACCTCCCTAATCATCCTTCTCAAACATCATGAGGGGGATTGTCTCTTTCTCCTTTTTCCATTCTAGACACTCCCTTTTATAGTGTCCAGTCCTGCCTCACTTAAAACACCCCACATTTTCCTGTGTCTTTTTTTTTTTTTTTTTTTTGGTTTTTCTCCGGTACCGGGAACCGAACTCAAGACCTTGCACTTGCCAGGCAGGCGCTTTTGCCGCTGAGCTAAATCCCCAGCCCTCCTGTGTCTAATTTCATGTTTTCTTTGTGTCTCTTGGGGTTTCACCTTTTTTGAGCCCCAGAAGATTGTCCAAAGATGGAGAGAATAATTTTAGCCTTTTGTTTTTGCTTTTCCTCATCTGTTTTTATGTACACCTTTTGTGCCTCTCTCAATAACTCCTGTAAGGGCTTATCTTTCCATCCTTCTATTTTCTGCAACTGTTTGGGAACATCCGGCCAACTGTTGGTGACAAAATATAGTTTTAACATACCTTGTCCTAAGGGAGCTGATGTATCTAATCCACTGTAATTTCTCATCTGAGATTTGAGCCTCTTTGAAAACTTGGCTGGCCCCTCTGCCCTTTCCTGTTGTACACCAAATGCAAGAGCAACATTCTTGGGGAACTGACTCATTGACTCCCTGGATTATGGATTTTCTGAACCCCACCATATATCCCCAGTGCACCTCAATATCATGCTCCCATTTAGGGTCCTCACTGGGATACTTGGTCTGTGATCTATTTCCACCAGATTTCAGGAGGTGAGTCTGTTCCAAGGCAATTACTGCTACACTGCAAATCACCCCTTTTTCCATTCTTGGGAACAGAATTCCCAAGATGGACATAAGTTTGTGGTCAGAGGAGCTGATGAACTTGTTCTGTCACACCATATGGATCCTCCAGTAGGGGTCGCAGTTCCTCTTTAAAGTTTCTAACCTCATAGCTGGTTAAACATGTGTTTACAAATCCAATTTTGTCCTGCTCCTAAAGGAACTTCCCTGAAAGGAAAGAGGTGCTGAGTTCCCTCTGGTTTCCTCTGTGATCTCTGAGGAAATGGAAAATGTTGAATATCCCCCTGGCACCTTTCTGGTTCCCTCCTGAGCTGAGGATAAGGATAATCTCTCCCTTGATACGGGCTGTGGTCGCTGTGCCAGGGCTGAGGCATCCTCAGCAGGAGCAGCCTCAGTTGGCACTTGCTCCTGTTGGGATGGAGCCCACAATCCGGAATGCTGAGGATTATAGGCGGGAGGCAGAGACTGCAGAAGGTCCCATGTGGGGGACCAGAGTGGATCCTCATTTCTTATCAGACACTAGGACCTTCAAAGGAGAAAAGGACAGTTAGTCCCTGTTGTCCACACAAAGCATAATGTAGTTCCTTCTAAGATTCTGGGTTTTTTCCCACTAACATTGAATTAATAATTCACATACCCAGTCCTCCTCCAATCCAAACCTTGCCAGAAGACAGAGGGGGTGAGGATGCAGTTTTCTGTCCAAAAAAACCAGCAATAAATAATCATTTGAGCTTCTTGTTTTTCATTCATGGGTTGTCACCCCCAATCTTCAGCATCAGTCCAAAGGGACAACTAGGGGGTATGTTATCCCTTGAGGCCTGTTTCCCTTTCCTGCCCTGATTGGGAGGCATATTTATGTACCATTCTGTTTGTTTTTTGTACCAGGGACCGAACTCAGGATCTTGCACTTGCCAGGCAGGTGCTGTGCCACTGAGCTCTCTGGCCCCTCCCTTTCTGTTTATTCCAAAGTTGAAGCTCAATCTCTAGCATCTGCTGAAATGTCATGCTGTCAGTTATTTTTGGTTTCACCCCAAACCTTTGGTCACACACAAGATCTTCTCACCCAAGATCCCCTTGAATTCACCTGAGGTCACCCTGAGACAGGAACATCATAACCAGACCACCAAGGCAATACTTGGCTGCCCCCACAATTTTTCTTACCTTGGCCCATGCACAGACTTACCTGGTTGTCCAGTTGTTGCCTCCCTTTGGGGCCCCTTTTGCGTTGTTAAGAAGCCTTTATCAGGTCCTCAGCCCAGGGACATGAGCTATCACTCTGGAAGTCACTTCAAAGGAGGCTGTAGGACATGTCTCCTCTGACAGAGATCCTATGCTCTGTGGGCTGTGGCCCCACATTGGGCACCAAGTTTGTTGGGAATAATATCCCAGACTCAATTTTTAGTGCCAAAAAGAATGCACCCAGACACAGAACAAGATATTCTGATAAGGCAGTTTTAGTCTTTCTTCTGCAGAAGAAAACAACCATGAGGTAATAGGAGCCACTCCCATGGAATAAAGGAAGGTCAGCTCTTTTATCCTAATATAGGAGGGATAGCTGGCCTTTTCCCCACTGGCTGGGTAGAAGGTTCACAATCTGTCCTGATTGGCTATATTTACTAGGAATCATTATATCAAAGTTACCATTTTTGTTCAAAAGATGACTATATGCAATAACAGAAAAAATCTTCACACCTGATATCAGGAAACTTCTTAAAATTCTGTTTCATGTATTTAGCAGATGTGATTAAATGGTAGTGAAGAAGTAATTTCAAAGCAATGAAGTTTATGGGCTGCATTATTGAGAGGCAAATAAATCAGCACTTGCTGTGTACACCACAGGACCTTGCACAAAATCATGCTCACTAGGAAAACCAAAACTAGACCAATAATAAAAACTGAGAAAGGGGGCAACAGAGTTACCTTGTAAGTTTAATACCAGAATGGCATAGTATGTTTACACATAAAAATTTTATACACAGATAGAGTAGCATCATCAAAGATAGGACTCTGGTTGTCAGGGGATACATGTTCAATCATTATACTGATTAAGATACGGAGATTTAAGTTTTTACCCCATTCTCTAAAATAACTGCTGATAAACAGATAGAAATTTGGACTTACTAAAGCTTTAAGATTCTAAAACTAATTCATTTCCTTGAGTTTTGATTGAATACCTCTCCACACTAATTTTTAAAATACATATATCCTACATTAATGTTATTAAGCATTTTTTTTTACAAAGGTACAACTCTCTTGTGGATTATATCTTAATAAAAGACTGGAGGTTTTCTTAAATTGTATTACATAGGAATTTATTTTTATTGTTGATTACTGACATTCTGCAAAAGTACTCACATTGAAGGTTTTCCACAACTCCAAGAACTACTCCTTCAAAATTTTAATTTTAGTAGTGACTGAGATCTGAGCTAAATTTTCACTATAAGAATTGAACTAGTTTTTTTTTTGCTCATAGCTTTTTAAAATAATGTACCGTAACTGTTGAACATTGATTAAAACCTTTCATATCCATCAATAGCATTCATAGGATTGTTGTTCTGGCATAGTATCTCTAGTACTGAATAAAGTTGGTGTATGTGCTAAAGTTTCTTCCACACTCATCCCATTTAAACTGTCTTCCCCAGAATGTAGTTTTTCATGATTAATAATATCAGAGAGTTGGTTAAAACTTCTTCTGCACTGAACACACTGGTAGCACTTTTCCCTAGTGTGGATTCTCTGGTGTTCAGTAAAACCTGTGTCTGTGCTGAAGGTTTTCCCACATACATCACATTTATATGGCTTTTCACTAGTGTGGATTCTTTGATGATTAGTGAGATCAGAGCGCCGACTAAAGTTTTTGCCACAATGTTCACATGAATATGGTTTCTCCCCAGTATGGATTCTCTGATGCAAGATAAGAGCTGAGCACTGACTAAAAGCCTTCCCACACTCATTACATTTATATGGCTTTTCCCCAGTGTGGATTCTCTGGTGTTTGGTAAGGTCTGAGTTTTGACTGAAACTTCTGTTGCACCATGTGCATGGATATGGTTTTTCTCCAGTGTGAATTCTCTGATGAAGAATAAGGTCAGAACTCTGACTGAAGGCTTTCTCACAACTATCACAATGATAGGGCTTTTCACCAGAGTGCACTCTTTGATGTTTAGTGAGGTCTGAACTTTGACTGAAACTTTTATTGCACAGATTACACACATATGGTTTTTCTCCAGTGTGTATTCTCTGATGCTTTATGAGATCTGAACGTCGACTAAAACTTTTAGTACAATCAGTACATGGGTAAGGTTTTTCTCCAGTGTGGATTCTCTGATGTAGAATAAGGTTAGAGCTCTGACTAAACGTTTTCCCACATTCCTCACACTCATAGGGTTTTTCACCTGTATGAATTCTGTGATGTTTCACAAGATCAGACCTTCGACTAAACATCTTATCACACTGATTGCAAGGGTAAGGTTTCTCTCCAGTGTGAATCCGTTGGTGATTAATAAGATCTGAAAGCCTACTGAAGGTTTTGCTACATTGATTACATGGATAGGGTTTCTCTCCAGTATGAATTCTTTGATGGAGAATAAGAACAGAGCTCTGATTAAAGGCCTTTCCACATTCATTACATTTATAGGGTTTCTCTCCAGTATGGATCCTTCGATGTTTAATAAGGTCTGAGTTTTGACTAAAACTTTTGCTACACTGATTACATGGATATGGCTTCTCCCCAGTGTGGATTCTCTGATGCAGAATGAGATCTGAGCTCTGACTAAAGGCTTTCCCACACACATCACACTTATATGGTTTCTCCCCAGTGTGAATTCTTTGATGTTTTATAACATCAGAACTCTGACTAAAATGTTTGTTACACTGGTTACATGTATAAGGCTTCTCTCCAGTGTGGATTCTCTGATGCTTAACCAGGTCTGAGCGCTGGCTAAAACTTTTACTACAGTGACTGCACTGATAGGGTTTTTCTCCTGTATGGATCCTCTGGTGAATAATAAGATCTGAGCTCTGACTGAAGGCTTTCCCACATTCATCACACTTATAAGGTTTTTCACCAGTGTGGACTCTTTGATGTTTAATAAGGTCTGAGCTCCGACTGAAACTTTTAACACACCAATTACAAGGATAGGGTTTTTCCCCAGTATGAATTCTTTGATGCAGAACGAGGGCCGAGCTCATTCTAAAGGCCTTTCCACATTTATCACATTCATATGGTTTCGCCCAGTGGGTTCTTTGGTGCCGAATAAGGCCTGTGCTACAAGTAAAGCTTTGGCCACATTCATCGCAGTTATGTTGTCTTTTTTTAAAGAGGTTCTGATCCTTTTCATTTGATTTATCCCCAAATTTATAGAATTCTCTGCCTTCAGAATCCTGCAGAACATCCTCTCTGGAGTTGCCAAATTCTTCTGAAAATGATTCAATTTTTGCTGTAATTTCTTCTTCTAATGCTGGTTCTCCATCTGGAAAAATAATGCAAATGGAATGCATTTATGTACTATAAGAAAGTTTTAGGTGAAACAAACCAGTGTATTTACCCCATGACAATTTACCCCATGACAAAAACCAGTGTATTTACTCCCATGACAATATGGGAGTGCTCCAAAAATAGAAAGTTACCTTCTGAGAGGGTAATTGGGAAGAATCAACAAGTAATGGATCACATTAATCATTTATAGAGGTTACTTAAAATATACATTCTATATGATTGTCACAGGAAATCTTGGAAGATAGATGTTTACTGTGATTAGGAAAGTGTGACTAAGTTAGAGCCAATAAACAAGCAATTTATTAACATATGTAAGGTAAGAAGTGTAAAAGTAGCCTAGAAAAAGGAAAACAAGTTGGTTAGGCCTTATTTAGCTTTGTGTAGCTATTTGGGCTAAATGGTATTGATGAAAGAAATGAAAGTGAAATCAAATCTCTTCCATTCAATTGGATCTTCTGTATTCATTTTTATAAACTCCTGACAGGAGTTTCATTTGAGAAAAGTTTTCCCTCCTAGGGTGCCAAAGTTTCTTTACTGCACCTTACATCCACTGCAAAAGAACTCTGTGACCTTACAGTATCACCTTGAAATGGGTCTAAAGGTGGCAGACCACAGGAGGGACTCATAGTATAACAGCTGTTTCCATTTTTACTAAGCATCAGTTACCCTGCTCTCTACCTCCCAGCAAACCAGCCAAAGTTATAATAATTTACCTAGTTTCTGTGTCTAATGATCACAAATTTCTCTCCTTTTATGAATCTCTGCAACTTGTCTAAAAGGTGTGGAAACTTTGGCCTACCCAGAATTTTTGTGTGTGTGGTACTGGGGATTGAACATAGGACCTTTGTGCTGAGCTATATCCCCAGCCCTTATTTTTTGAGACAGCGTGTCCTTAAAGCACTAAGTTTCCCAGGCTGGGCTTGAACGTGCAATTCTCCTGCCTCAGCCTCCCACCAGTGTGGACTCTTTGGGATTTCTCAGCTGGGATTACAGTACTTGCTGGCCCAGAATGAATCTTAATTACCAACTGTTACAATGGGATGAACTTGAGGCTAACCACTAAATTGACAAATAGTTAGAAGCAAGAGAGTTGCTACAATTGGGCATCATTTGGACCACTTTGAACATGTTTCTTAGATTTGGTCTATAACCACCTCCCCAATGCATACTCACTGATACAATAAAGTGGAAAAACATTTATTGTTCTTCTGACTGTATGCATAATTTGGTGAACATACTTGCTACTGAGTCCTACTAACTTCCTTAAAGTCTTTTAGGACCTGCAAGGCCCTCATACTTCCTCTTCCAGAAAGCCATGTCTCTGTCAGCACCCCCTCTTTGTCACTAAAACTGCTACAAACTAAGACATCTGGGATTTTATACTTCCTGAAAGATAAGTTAGCCTACAAGTCTCATGGCCTATGCAAAGACATATGACTTCAGGATGAGGGACAAAAGATAGTTTATTATGGCAATACGAGTAGACAGAACAGTGGCATTTGACTCGGCTCCTGAACCCCAATTCCCACATATGATACATGCAGTAAGTTGCATTACAGGAGAACCCTGGGCCTAGAAGAATCCTGACAAACCAATATTTTATAAAAGGTGCTAAAGACAAGGGTCCTCTACTTCAATGATAGAGACAGTATCATTGTACTCAAAGGCTGCTTGTCATACAAAATTTTTTAAAAATAATCCAAAATGAAGGAAGTCAATGCCTCTGTAAGATACACAGAAACACAACAACCCATAGAGGATTATCTCTTAGCTCTAACTTTAATAGAAATGAAGGAAACCAGAAAACAAAGAAATACCACCCTTCAAGTGATGAAAGACAATTACTGCCAAACTAGAACTTCATAATAAGAGAAGATGCTTTAAAGAAAAGTTAAGATATTTTCAGCAAGGTGTGATTGCCTAGGCCTGTAATCCCAGCTATTTGGTAGGCTGAGGCAGGAGAACTAGAAGTTTGAAGTAGTCTTGGCAACTAGTAGACCCTACCTTAAAATAAAACTGCAAAGGGCTGTAGCCTAGTGCCATGGCATTTTGGTTATTATGCATCAGGCTTTGGGTTCTAGCTCTAGTAAGGTAGAAAAAAAACAAAACAGAAAAAAATTAGATCAAAGCAAAGAAAAGCTTTTACCAGCAGACTTGCACTACAAGATATTCTAAAAAATTTTTCAAAAAAGAAAAAAAAAATTCCAAATGTAAGCAAATTAGTGAAAGAATGAAGACCACTGAAAAAGTAAAATATCTGGGTAAATCAAAATGTGTACTGACTGATTAAAGCAACATCAATGTTTTATGGCATTTATAATATTATATGAAATTAACACACGGCAAAAACAATACTAGAGGATAGAAATAAACAGAGTTAAAATCCATTGCTAGTTTTAAAGTCTGCAAAGTCTTTTACATTGTCCTAAAAGTAGTAAAATAAACTGTAATAAATTTAGCATGTGTATTAGACTTTATAAGGCAGCCTTTACCAACCATAGTTCTACAAAACTATACAACAAGAAATTAAAAAAAAAGAAAAAATGACGCTGGGATACTATCGGGACATGTGCACACCCATGTTCACTGAAGCAACATTCACAGCAGCCAAGAGATGGAACCAGCATAGGTGCTCATCAACAGATGAATGATAAAGAAAATGTGGCATATCTATTCAATGGACTTTTATTCAGCCATTAAGAATGGAATTATATAATTAGCAGGAAATATATGGGACTGGAGATCATCACATAAAGTGAAGTAAGCCAGACTCAGAAAGACTAAGTATTGTATGTTTTCCCTAATATGTGGAATCTAAAAATGATAACATGAAAGTAGAAGAGAGACTATTGTTAGACAAGGGAAAGGGAATGAAGGGGAGAAGGCTGTGAGGGAGATGATTAGGTGAATCCCAAGAAAGAGATGTTAGTTATATCTTTAAGAGATCATGACATTGACATTAATTGACTGAAGTGAAAATACTTCCACTACACTCCATTAAATAAAACAGCAGGTTACAAAACAAATTTTTTAAAAATGATGCTTGCTTATGTAACTCAGTGGTAGAGCATGTGCTCACCATATTCAGGACCTGGGTTCAATCCCTAGCACAAAATAAATGAAAAAAAAATTTAAATTGAATTAACCCTTCAAAAAAAAACCACCAAACTAAAGTTATTTGAATGACTATTTTCATAATTCTTCCAAGGATGATACACAGTTAATTACATAGTAGATTTATTATCAGAAATAGTAATCCATAATATACAAAGACACTAGGTGTCTTAGAGCATTGGGGCTTACTTTAATTCACTCACAGAACCACATTTGAAAAAGGCTGTGATAAGATAACCATTAAAATTACAATAAAGGAATGTACAGCACATTAGGTTAGTGTCGCAGACCTGTAATCCCAGCATTCTGGGAGGCTGAAGCATGAGGATGGAAAATTCCAGTTCAAGCTGGGGAATTTAGGAAGACTGTGCCTCAAAATAAAAAATAAAAAGGGCTGGGGGTATAGCTCAGTGGGAAGGCCCTTGGAGTAGACGCATGCACATGTGCGCACATGCACGTGCACACACACACACACACACCCCAAACAAAAAATCAGTATAAATCAGCAAATAGGAAAAAAAAGTGGAAAAACAAGAAACTTGACACTGTAAAATAAGACACAGAGGGAGAAAATTAAAAGAAAGAAAATGAAGCAGGTGGGACATTTATATTTAAACACAGCAATTATGTTATATTTAAAGTGACTACTCCAATAAAAAGCAAAACAAAAACAAAATAACAAACCTTCAGCTAACAAGTTAATGGTTAAATATTAAATGCTTTCCACAAGGGAACAACGCAAAGACACTCACTGTTAGCACTGCTATTCAACATTGTACCACTTCTGTTTATTCCTAGGCAATGCAAGAAAAAAAATGAAAAGCCATATAGATAGATAGATAGACAGATAGATAGATAAATATATCAATCTATATATATCAGTCTATCTCGTTGCGGGGACAAAATACCGAACATTCAAATTAAAGGAAGAAAGGTTTATTTAGCTCACATATTATAGAAGTTTCTGTCCACAGTTGGCTGGCTCCAAGGTGGGGTGGCTTGGCAGAGGGGCATCACAGAGGAGAAACAGTTCACACGGGAGAAGACAGCAAAGACAACAAGGGAGGAGAGAGACAAGCCTCTTTCTGTCCCTTATACTGTATCCAGTCTACTGAGATTAGGGCAGTGTCAGTCCAATCAGAAGACTGATCCAGCAGTCACCCACCCTTAACTCTAGCACTGTGCTATGAATCAATCATACATTCTAGATTCAGCCACTTCTGAAAAAACTCCACCCCTAAGACTGCATGAGGCTTTGGGGACATGTAGACACAAACCATTATACACACACACACACACACACACACACACACACATATCTAAAGAAAAAGTTAAACTGTATTTACTTAGAAAACACACACACATAAAATCCCTAAACTATTTTTTAAAAACTATTATTTACAATGAGTTTAATAGAGTAATATATAAAAACTAATTATATTTCTATATATAAGCAATGAATACTTAGAATAAAAACTTTAAAATATTTTTCAGATGCACCCAAAAATGAAATACTTACAAACTGAGCAAAATATTTACAAAATCAGTAAAATGAAAATTATAAACTTTGCTAAGAGAAACTAAAGATCTAATCAACAGAAATATATACCATTATTTATGCATAGGAAGATGGTCGTTTGTCCCAACTTGATTGATGGATCCAACACAACCCCAAAGTCCCAATTAAGCTTTTTTGTAGAAATTAACAAATTATTCTACGTTTCAGCAGAAAGGTTCAGAAAAATCTAAACAATTTTGAAAAAGAAAAATAAAGCTGCTTTTTTAATTTCAAGCTTTACTATAAAACCATAGTAATCAAGGCACTGGCACAAGGAGAAACATGTTCATTCATGGAATAGA